TTTTTACAATGTAATAATGATATACACATGTTTATATGATTTGGATAAAATTCTGCATTTGACAATCTTCAAAAACATGTGACCATACATATTTTATTGCATTTTTGATTGGAAATTTTTTTCTAAAAAAATGGCGGTGTAGCACAAAAAGTTCAGCGACTAAGTGACTTGCACTATACTGATAAAAAATCAAAAAGGATTACAAAGACAAAAAAAACCAAAGAAGCAGAAAACTATAGCCAAGTCTATCTTGAGTATGAAAAGTTCATGGTATGTAAACTTATTATTATGAGAATTCTCATTCAATGTTTTTTTATGTTAAATCCCTCTATAAGAAGCTTATTTAAAATAAGTTGTGATATTGACAATAACATTGAGTGAAAAGGCTCTAAATAACTTCATTTCCCTTACAATTTGCTAATATCACCTTTTTAGATTGATTACAAGTTTTATCTACCATCATTATCAAGTGCAGCAATTAATATCGATTTAATAGTAGCCTCTTATATTCTTAACAATAAAAAGTTAATAGAAAAGTGTTTTTATGATCACCCATTATTAAGTTATGTTCTAGATTTAACAAACTATCAAAACAGTTTGGCTTTATATATAAAATCTCCAGGACCAAATGACACTTTACCACTCAACTATGTTAGAAATATATTCCCTGGTGTTTCTGGTGAATCCATTATTTCAAAACTCAAAAAAGTTCTAGAATTATGTTCGAGTTTAGATGATTGCCAAAAAACTACAATTAAAGATTATTTGTTAGAATTACAAAGTTCAAAATTAGTTAAATCAATAAGTGATGAGTTTAATCCAATCATTGATTACTTGTATGATCAATTGTGAGCATTTTTTTTTGTTATTACATGTCTATTTATTATTTTATGTTTGATACTAATATAAACAATTTCAGTGACATAATATGGAAGAAAGGTCGATATAACAATCTAGTTGAACCTAACAGTTCAATTGATGAAGGACTTTGGGTTGCTGAACCTGTTCATATCATTATGACAGCAACAACGAACTATTTGGATCAGGTTTTTCCACAATGGTAAATAATATCAACTATTTTTCATAATTAATAATAAAGAATATTTTATGCCAAGCAATATGTTGAAATTTTTGTAGGTCAGCAAAAGTTTGTGATGCAACAAAATTTTCTGTGATTCATAATTTCAATTATGATGCATATATGAAAGGAATCTCACCTGATGAGCATAAAATTTCACAAAAAAAGCCAGATATATGGGCGACCATCAACATTGATGGCATTTCATATATTGTATGGTGAGGTATCTGGAATGCCATATGATCCAGATCTAAAACATATAGAAGGAGATCGCAGAAAATTGTTTCGTCTTGGTGTTTGTGGCAAAAAACTATTTCTCAAACATATTAGAGAACAATACCCACATGGGGTAAACAGATCATTAATTAGATCACTAGTGTTAGTTCCTATTCCACTCCTGTGGTTTTATAGTAAGCATTGTTTTTTATGATTAAATCATAAATAATTGTATGTATTTACAAAATAAATATAAATATTATATTTTAATATGATCTACTTTTTCAGAACACAGATTTCAATTCATGTTTTTGGATCAAATAGGAAATCTTTATCGGGCAACATCTTTCCCCCCAGTAGAGATACCAATTGAAATATCACAAAAAAGCAAATTTGAAAACTTTGCTTTAAATGTAATTAACATCTATGTGGTTTTGAAAAACATTGTTCAAGAAATACAAAATTCCATAAACAAAAAAATTATATATAATTAATTCGACGCTAGCCGTGGTTTTTTGCTTTACAAGATATTTGCGCGTATATGAGAACTTCTAAACTTAACTATAAATTTGCTATAAGTATATTTTACGATTTTTCTTCATGCAATCCAGCAAGAATTTATATAGCAAAAATAAAATCTCAAATAAAATCTCAAAAGAAAAAAAATAACTAATTATTTAATTACGTGGTGTGGGTTACACAAAGAAGCACCTATTATTTATTATTGTTGTTGACGCGATTGAATTTTTTTTTTTTTTTTTTTTGGAAAAACAATTTTGTTCGATATGGCTTGCTCTAAAGAAGACAAGGCGTTGTTTATTGATGATGAAAGGTACACACACAATTTTTTGTTGCATTGTATTTTTTTATTGTTTTTATAAATATTGTTATATATATATGTCCTTTATTTTGTATAAATATTATTGAAATCAAACTCTGGATGGAGCAGATCTTGTTGTGTCTCGGGTATTTATATTATAATAATATTAAATAATTATGTCAAGGCGATACAAGGAAGGGAAACATTTCGGATATGCAACATTTTCATAATTATAGATTTACAGACGTCAAGGCACATACGCTACTTTGAACACCTACAGTCATTCTCTCACATTCCTCATGTCTACAAGGCTAATCTGACCTCATCCCTCGATGATACAATCATACAACAAAATTCCGGGGTTCTATTATTTCCCCAAAATTTCGTACCCCAAAAATGGTGCACAAATTGGGTGGATATGGTTGGTGGTCATTGGTTGATAAAATGATTAAATATTGTATTCTTGAATCAGTAATAAAATTATAATGAAGTCAATCTTAAAATCAAAAACGCAACCACAACCACAACTTTCATTATATGGAAGAATTCCTCATAATGTATTAGCAAATTTATCTTTATCCGCTTCTACCTCCACTAATGACAAAGTTGATGATTTTGGAGGTTTTCTACTCATCCATATCTATATATCTATATTTTTTTAAAAAAATAATCAAATAACTTGACTAATTGATGAGAATCACTAACAATTTTTAGAAGATTCTGTTTGGAATATACCGAATGAAGCTTGGGAGTGGAATACTATTGAGGTAATTTTTTGAAAATTATCAATAGTTTATTATATAATAAATAAAAACATCTAACTTTAATATATATTATAGTCAAAAAATTATTATCAACAATCATCAATTAATACTTCGTTAAACTCAAATATTTCTTCTGCCACTATCACAACCACCAAAACTTCTTCAATTACAACGCCATCATCATCTGCAATCAACATCAATAATACCACTACTATTTCCGATCAATTATCTCCATACTTGTTCTCTATGTCGGACACTGGAAATCATCTTGTGAGTGCAACACCTGATCTTTTTGTGGTTATGGCTTTAGATAAAGCCAGGAAAGAGTATGAAGTTATTGGAGAATTTAAAGGACACTTTGAACGAGGGTAATTTTATTCTCTATGTATGTTTATTTGGAAAAAGGGTTATGATGCTTATAACAAAATTATATTTTATAATTAGTGAAAAAATAACTGCAATATTATGTTTACCATTTTTCATGCCATCAGCTTTCAAAAGGTCAATCAATCATTTCAAGCATTCTTTTTTTTAAAAAAAAAAAAGGAAAAATAATTTTTGATATTGAAAAGTTTGCTTTATTTTGTTTTCCTAATAGTCAAATCTTTGTTATAATTGGTTATAACACTGGATACTTGAGAATTTTTACTCAGGTAACAAGCTCCTAATAATAATAAAATTATTTATATATCACTCTAATTTCTTTATTATTGTAATCGGTCAGGGAGTTTACAAATATCACAGCAACTAGACACTTCTCCAATAATTTCAATAAAACTACGTACTGCAACATTCCCTACATTCTCATTACCAATATCCATGCATTCACATTATCATGATTACAATCAAAAACTTTCATCATTTTCAGAATCATTAGATGAAGAGATCACTATATTACATG